ATACATACAGAGAGCAAGGGGAACGCAATGGAGCAAGTCCTGTATTCTCAGATGTCCATTAAACCATTGTTATTTATGTGCTTACTGCATTTTGGAATAAACATATTGTAAACAAGGCAAAATTCCAGTTTCTCCAAAATCAATATTAAAAAGTAGTCTGGTGTGGACAGGTCTCGGYAGGAGCCAAGATATGCTGGGAAAATGCCCAAGCTCTCTCAGTAGTTTTTGAGTGTTATCCAAGCTCCCAAAACAGCCTGGTGATATACAAGATGCACAGACTGGTTCCCACCTCATTTCAGATGTCCTGAACAGCCACCCTGACCCTTGGTGATTTCTAAGACCTGTCCTAAATAGTTGCAAATGAAGACTTTTAGATAATTCAAAAAATAATCCAGTGAGTAAGTGTGGCGTTTACATTTGTATTTTAATATAATACACGGAAGCTCAGTATATTAAAAATACAAGMATTTCACTTTGTTTGAAACATGCAGATACATGTATATGGATTGTTCAGATTATCACCACATGTTGGACAGGCAAGCCTAAGCCTTACTTCACATTCTCACGCCCGTCTTGTGCATAGCAAAGTCATCCCTAGTGTTTCATTCTACCACTTCTTTTTTTCAATACCTGTATTTTATTCCGAGTGGGAAGGAAGCAAAACTAAAACTTGCTTTTCTTTTCATTCTGTGCCTATTGTATGACTGTGACCTCTACTCAGAATTTTCAAGGGTGGGAGGTTCAACTGTGATTGGCACACATTCCAACAGTAGAGTGCAGGCCAGGTAAACCTACCAGGTAYCAGGCATCAATGAAAGCATTCAGCTGGGTATATTCCCCTGTAAAAGTACACATCCAACCCTGCCTAGTGCTACTGTGTGCCCTGCAGAGATGTCTCACAGGTRTAAGCATGCTGGGTGCTGCTGATCTCCCTTTTCTGCCAGAACCAAGCAGCCCCAGGTAGATCTGTGAGTAGCTCCTTCCAYAGGCTCCTCCTCCATTACCACATGCAACCTCCTCTGGCAGAACTAGTCCCACTTCATGAGGTTCTGCATGTTTTGTCTTTCTCAGTTCAGTCAYAATCACACAGACTTTTTGAGCACTCACTAGTCAAATAACGCAAGTCTATAAAGAGTACCTCATTGTACTATTTGTCTTCCACCACAGCTCACTTTCTCCAAAATACATCTTTTTTTCTCACTCTCCTCCTCCATTCTACTCTTCATATTTTTTYCCCTTGTTTCATTGTCATCATTAACTTTAGATACCCTGCATGGATGAGGAAAAGGTCTTGAATGAGCTTCTGGTGAGACCTTATGCTTTTGGATACCATCACTGCTACCCTCTCCATCTTCCAAGGGCAAGATTGCTGAAGGTCAGGGGACATCCCACAGACATTATTTTACTTTCCTAGAAAGAATCTCATTTTGGTGCAAACCTCTTCTCTGTGTCTGGCTTCAGYAGAACAACACATTCCTCCATTTATTTTGGTATCCATAGTCATTTATATTACCTTCCAAAAAGTAATTATTTGGAACCAGTTAAGCCTGTATATGAATTCTGCCTTTGTTTAAAGCACATTGCACATACGTATATATTTAGACTGTCATTAAATATTTAAGAAGTTGTCTTCAAACTTCAGCAGCAGCAGCTTTTATTTGCTTAACCCTTTGTGCAATGAAAAACTTGAGGCTGAAATCTTATTGTGGAAGAATTCAGAAAGMCCGGTTGCCTTCATGCTAGGTAACAAAGGCCAAACTCTGACAATCAAGGACACGGTAAAGAAAACCAGAGGTTTTGTATTCCTTTATATCCTGTTTGCTAGTAGTCTAATCATGATAATGTAATTCATTTTAGTCTGCCTCAACTTTATCGCTTGAGATGCATAACTAGGATGCAAATTAATTAGTTGTGACATACAGATGGATCTTTCAATACAMTTCACAGAGACAGTCAAATACACACATGCCCATCCCTCCTTTCCCCAAATGAATTAAGACACTCTACACATTTTTCCAGAGGTCAAGAAGTCACCTTTCTTGKTTTTTTCAATCTAGAGAAGAAACATCACATCCAGCAGACAGGTAGACCTCATGTGAACCCAACATCAAATGTTACACTGTAGATGAAACTCCATCACAAGTAACTTGTGATGTGTGCAGCCCCAAACCTAACACATCATACCACCACCACCCTGCTGACACAAAGTTAGAACGACTTAAATTCTGCTCACCTAATTTACCTGGTTTGGCAAGGCCTCTACCTAGATCAAATCATTCATGTATCACCATCACAAGCACTGGTATCTCAGCGCCAGCTCTCCATGGTCAGGGCACCCACATTCCYGTCCTTTACATGAAGTGGTGTAAAGTATCCCAGTAGAGGATGGGAAAACTGGCACAGAAAAGCACAACACACAACTCCCAATTCTATATGGATATACAAACACACATACCCTCAAGAGCATGTTTTTCCTTCTTTCTGACTGAAAACCTTGAGGATGCGTTGTTAAATCCATGCMCCAAACACATCACAAGAGCCACTCTGTGTGCATTTTTTGAGGCCCAGATGTATTATAGACACTTCTTTCCCAAGCACTACAGCCTCAYTGATGATCAGATGCGGCTTCAGGAGGGATGAAAAATGGAGTCCCTTCTACAGTCTTCACACCTGAGTTACACATCAGCACAGAAGCATTTCAACTGGTTGGCTGYCATGCTACCTTGGGGATGTGACCCTGATGGATTTTATAAAGRGAGTGGAGCACCAAGCATGGTCCCTACTGGCACAGAGAAGGGAGAGGATGCAGGCCCTGGCAGGATACGGTGCTGAGAGAGCAGCAGATGGCACACTCTGCTGTTGCATCGGCACCGAGGCATGAGTGAGAAGGGGCAGCAGCTCTGCCAGGTGCCCTCACTCTGGTAAGATGCTGGGTCAAAGAGATGCAGTATCTGCAGTTCAATTCTTGTAGTAATCTTATTGTTAGCATCGGTTTTGAATTCCTGTCTTTTAACAGCAGCACTGCAACAAATGTCAAAGCTCCCCACCCCAGATGCAGCCACATCCTAGCAGAAAGTATGCTTTTTGTATGAATAGTACAGCATACCAGTTGGGTTCATGCTATCGTATCCCRCGGGTTGCTATGTACAAATCTCACTACAAAACAAGTGGCAAAGACACTTTAGGAGGAGCAGAACTCACAGGGACAGGGCTATCTTTTATTAGACCAATGGCATAGCTGTAAAAAAATAGACTCACATGAAACCACAGACAGGTATGTTAGGTTTTATAACAACTTCACAGCACACATACTGTAGTATRCAGCAAATAACCAGGATTTTTCCCATCTGTAAATTAGCTCCAATTGCTGAGAYCTAAAAACCAAAAACCCACACCCTGAAAGGCTGCAACAGTCAGAGCTCCCTTCTTTCCCAAAACAACTATTCCCTGAAGGAGATCACAAGCTAAAGGGACTCCCGGGTGACAAATAACATGAGCTTTAGCTTAGTATCTCTACTGATCACCCGGCACTGACACTATATCGCTTCCACGTGTGCATGGTTTCACCATTYGCCCATCAGTTTCCTGAAAGTGAATGGGATTAAAAGTCCACTGAGTATTTGCACTGCTCTTTCCTCCCCCTCTGCAGCAGAATTACAGTAACCAAAAGGTGAGCAGAGTTCACCCAGACACACGCAGGCTTCCTGACTTTGCAATGCTGACCTTCCCGGTCTCTTCTCAACCCCCGGGGATAGTTTCGGTGGAGAAACAGCCAGCCAGTCGGAAATTTTCACCAGTATTAATGCCAACGTAGTTTCTTCCCAACTGCTTTCCAGAAGCATTTTTCCACCCACGTTCCCCTGTGTACCACAAAACCCTCCAGCCAYTGGCAGCCCAGGGTGCAGCTCCACTACACATCACCCAGTGCTGTACGGCTAGTCTGTTTTAACTCAGTGTCTAATTCACGCCACCCAAGAAATATTCTCATGTGGAAAACTTCATATACAGGCACCTATTCTGCAGAAAACGTAGCGGTGGTCGGCATTTAAATGAACTAATCAGTTGCAAACAGCTTAGTCAGCATCGCAGTCCTGGTAATTCCCAGAAGCGATTTTCCCGGCAGCTATATATAAAAATCTAAAAAGCAGACTAGAAGACAAGGGAAGCAGTACAGCGAGACAAAATTTGGCTTCACARTGACATTACCAACAAATAAAAGTAAAAGTCGAGGAAAGCCAAGCAATCAGGCGTTCACAGAAAGCACACGCTGAGCCTGCATCACTGRTGTACCCTCTCACACATAAAAACCAGAAACTCACACAGGACACGAACACAGCCAGCACTGCACTCCTTTTTCTTTCTTTTTTTACTGCTACTGCGCTGGTTTGAACTGAGAGGAAAAACACGGCAAGGCAAGGTTACTGGCTTGTCTGTGGAGATACACAGACACCCRGTCACACGCCGGGCACTGCTTTTTGGAGAGCGTATCCCAGCCCTCGCCCTCAGCAACCAACCCACTTCGGAAGCCCGGCTCACATGCGACCTGCAGAGAGCTGAGGACTCGTACAAACTTTGTCTCAAGGCAGGCAAAACACAGAGCATCTGGCCTAAGAGGCGCTGGGAGGACAAAAGGCAGCGCCAAATGCCAGCGCATCCTCCAACAGCACCTCCGCCGCTGGCAACGTTTGGAAAGCCATCGGGCTGCGGATGCAGGTCATCCGTCCCCGGGCAAGCAACGCCACGGCTGCAGGACACCGCATCGCCCTTCATCGCCTCCCYGCCAGCTCCCCCGGCCACGGCAGCACGGAGCCAGCCGGCATCCTCACGGGGATGGGAGGACCAACTTGGCCACAGGAGCGATAAATGCTTTCCTCTGGCCATTGCCAGCGCATCGGTACACGTCTGCTCACATCTGCCCGGCGGCCCGGGCCGCCTGCAGCGTAGAGCATGCCGGCATGCCCTGCGGACACAAGCACGGCAAAGGGGCACCGCTCACTTACTTTTCGTATTCGGCGTTGTCTCGATCGCAGCGCGAATCCTTGTGCTTTTGCCAGTCTTTGCCATGCTTGCAGGTGGTCAGGAGGACAACATCCTCTCCGTTATGGACGTGATATAAGGCATTCCTGGTGTCTGACCCTATCCCCGTCAGGTACCTTTTCCCCTTGAATACCAACATGTACTTCCTGAGAGGAGGGATGGTGTTAAACCTCAAAAATCCCTTCTCCCCTCCTGTCCTAGGATGATCCTTAGAAAAGAGTGGGATAGAAACGTCAAAGTTGGGTCTGAAGTTTTCAGTACTGATGCTGGCTTTGGCCAGCATAGCCTGGCCAATATCGAACCCCACATCCTCAGTGTAGTCGGGCCAGGTGCCGGAATATAAATTAAAAATCAGGTGGTTTCTGCCATTGTTCCACAGGTGGAGGCTCTGCACCTTGGAGCGGAGGTTGTGCACATACTGGGGCGAGAGCTGGTCCCGGTCCAGCGTGTCCAGGCTGAGGACGAACAGGCAGGCCTGCCCGGGGTCCGAAGTGTAGAACCGGGAGCCCTCGATAGCGGCCAGGACGTTCTGGTAGCTCTCGGCGATCTTCTCCCCCTTCTGCTGCGGGTACACGTAGACCTTGAAGCCGTTTTTCCGGCACTGGGCGAAGTCGAAGCAGGACTCCATGCGGCAGCGGCGCCCGCGGTAGAGGCCGGCGCTGGCGTCCCGGCGCTGGCGGGGGGAAACGCGCCCGCCGCCCTCGGGGCCCGGGTGCTCGGCGGGCGCGAAGGGCCGCAGGGCGTCGGGGAAGCGGGGCCAGGGCCGCTCGACACCGCCGGGGCGCGGGCCATGCCGGCTACCGGGCGGCGAGTGCCGGGCCGCCCGCAGCCGCACGCCTCCCAGGTAGAGCAGCAGGGCGAGACAGGTGCCGGCAGAGAGCAGCGTCAGGTAGCGTTTTTTGGCCTGCATGTGTCCGGCGGGGGTCCGGGGGGCTGCGGAGGAAGGCGGGGGCGGCCCGAGCTCGCCGGGCGCCGCTCTCAGCTCCGCTCCGCCATCTTCCCGCCGGCGAGCGCTTCAAACTCTCTTCGCCCACCTCCGCTCGGCGCCGTTCCCCAAGCCGCCGGCCGCGGCCGCGCATGTGGGCGACCGCCGCAACTTTCTCGCCGCCGGTGTCTCAGGGGCGGCGGGCGGCGGCCCGGCGGCGGCCCG